AAAACACCTACTGATATTTGGAATGGCTTTCCAATCTCCTAGAGATGTGAACACCGCTGTCATGGAGCTGCTGATAATGGCGTATGCACTGAAGACTTCCTGTGCCAGGAACATCATTGGGGTCATCCCCTACTTCCCCTACAGCAAACAGAGCAAAATGAGGAAGAGAGGCTCTATAGTCTGCAAGCTGCTGGCCTCAATGCTCGCCAAGGCAGGTGAGTGTCACAGGGAGCAGCAGCGTGGCAGGCTTGGGCGCTGCTGGGCGTCCCAGAGGGCTTCTCTCCTTCTGCTCTTCTTCTGTTTGATGTGGGGACCTGCTGCTGAGCCCTTGAGCCACTTGGGGGAATTAATTTTCTTCGGTTTAATTTAAATTGTTTGTAACTTGCACCTGGGGAAGCGGCCTAGAAGCGTCGTATTGAAGTGCAGTGTCAGCCTAGTGCTGTGACTTGTCGCATGCCTGTTTCTCATTGTGTCTGTGGAACTTTTTTGGTTAATCTCTTTATGCTTGTTTTATCACGTGGCACAATAGTCGGAGTAATAGCTAAAATAGTCTGGAAAATGGAGATATTTGAGGAACTCCAGCCATGTGGGAGTTGTCTCAAGGACTTGTTCTTTTCTTTTTTCTTTTTTTTTTCCCCTAGGTTTAACACACATTATCACTATGGACCTTCATCAAAAGGAAATTCAAGGCTTCTTTAGCTTCCCAGTCGACAACCTGAGAGCATCCCCTTTCTTGCTTCAGTATATACAGGAAGAAGTGAGGTTACTCTAGTTCTATATATATCAACTTGTCTTAACAAGACAGCGGCATTGGGCCTCTGCTTATGTGGAGGTTGTGTTGTCAGGATAGGTCAATCGTTCTGAGAATTAATTCTTTCTCAGGAGGTACCTATTGCATGTTTCTGTGGGAAAATATTATATTGTACAATTGTGCCTGGAAAGAAACTGAACTCTTGACCGTAAGCAGAAGATGAGCTCGCCCTCTGTAGAGTTAGTGCCATTTGAGAGGTGCTGTTTGTGCTCCTGCGTGTAATCACCTTTTAAGTCCCGTTAAACTGTCTCCTCTCGCCCTTTGTTCAGGGGTGGATGTCTGACTGCTCTGAATTATTGATAGACTTTGTCTTGGGCTGAGTGTAGGAATGCTGAGCACAGCAGGGCTGGGGGCAGGGCACGGCGGTTTTATTTTCCATGTGCAAGGGACCATGTGCAGGGCGAGCAAGGCTTCCCCCTGTGGGGAGGTGGGCCCTGGGTTCAGACCTTCCCCTGCAGACAGCAGTAGCTGCCGCTGGTCCGTGTAGGGCAGGTTAAATACAGTGAATGTTCCCACCTCTGCCCGTTTTGAGTGCAAGGCCAGCGCCTTCTCTGCGCTGGCACTGGGGCTTCGTGATACCAGTTTGATACCTCTGCCCCCCAGAGCCCATCACCACACCTTCCCCTTCCTTCCCCACGCTGTGTTGCCACAGAGTGAAGATTTGGGTCTGGGGAAGGAGAGCGGGGCACGATGGTTCAGGCATGTATCAAATCGGCTGCTTGCTGGCGAGTAGGTCTTTACTTACATAACTTTTTGTCACATCTAGATTCCAGATTACAGGAACGCAGTTATTGTAGCCAAATCTCCTGATGCAGCTAAAAGGTAAATGGATACTTTACTAGATGGTCAAAAGTAACTTGGAAAAGGTCTGGGCTGATGGGAAATACACCAGGAAAAATATGGGAGGGTCGCAAATGGATCAGCCATCTGGTCCGTAAGCCCTCCGTGTCTGGAAACGGGATGGGAGTCTGCAGCGGTGCAGATGGGCAGCTGAATTGTGGAGTCCCAACCCTGTGGGAGTAAACTCTGGAGGGCTCTGCTGCTGCAGGGCTAGGTGGTTCACCTGGGGCCGGGATCAGACTTGCTGCCTGAGTTTCAGCAGTGGCTGACCGTCTCAGAAAGCATTTAGCGTATGGAGGAATGCCAGGAGACCCCTGTGGTGGAGCCGAGGGGTAGAGTGGGCTTTGGGATATTAAGGAGGAACGAAAAGTGGCTTGTGGTGAAGTTTCTTGCTGGGGAACAGCCACAGAGGTGCAGCCTTTGCTTGCCCTGTTGGGTCTGGGAGAGGCTTGCTGCACTGGGCTGAGAAGTTGCATCAGCCCAACATCCTCCTGACATGCTGTGGTTGTCCTGCAGGGCTCAGTCCTACGCTGAGAGACTACGGCTGGGACTAGCAGTGATCCATGGAGAGGCTCAGTGTACAGAGCAGGACATGGACGATGGACGTCCCTCCCCTCCGATGGTCAAAAATGCAACTGTGCGTCCTGGTCTGGAGCTGCCGTGTAAGACTAAGCTTCTCTGCTTACCTTTGGGCAAAACCAGAGAGAAGTTTGGTGGAAATTGCTGTTGCTTTAGCTGTGTAGGTATAACCGACCTAATGGTAGTTGGATCAGTGGAATTTTTCTCATGGGAAGGTTGGTATCAGTGAGTTGTAGGAGAAGGTACAGGGAAAGGTTTTTATTTAACTCTTTCTGGCCATGCAGAGCATCAGTGTTGTCCTTGGCTGCGCCCACTCAACAGTGTCAGACTGACGAACCTCTGGTAAAGGCGGTGCTTTTACAGTGCTCAGCCACAAAACTCATTGAGCTAATGAACAGAAAAGAAACACAGAAGTGTACCTCACGTGGGACCAGCCACCAAGACTGCTGTCCCCGCTGTGGAGGGGATGGCTGGCCTTTGTCTTGCTGCAGCCATTGTTACTGCTGGAGATTTTCTTCGTATTGGCAGCCAGGTGATCATGTTCCAGGGTCTGTTTTGAGAAGGTTTTGAGGTTTATGTGGCTAGGGTGAATAGGATTCTCCGAGAGCATTGCTGAGCTCCTTGCTGTGCTCTTGCCATCGATTATTAAGCTGCTGATCTGGGAGCACAGAGCAAAAGAAAAAGGAAGAAACCCGTGTTCTGGGAAACGCCGTCCTCTTAGGATTGGTTGTGTTCCTGCAACAGCAGCGGTCAAGTAAGATCAGTACAATCAAGATCAGCTCCCTCTTGGGAGGATTTTAGCTTTCTAGGTAGGTGGTGGTAGGAAAGAATGGAGGGCAGTGACTGTGGCTGAGAAGTGACCGTGGGAAAGGGTGCGTGGTGCTGTGTGTGGTAAGGAGCTACCCCTCGTGCGGCCAAACTCAATTATACCGGCGGTGGCTGGGGCTACTGATGAGCGTCTCCTCTCAGCTTTTGAAGTTTAAGGAGAACATCCAACCAGTTTGTGAGCAGGTCGTGGAGGGGGAGGCAAGTAAGACTGCAGGCCTTTTACATTACCCCAGTCATCGCTCGCTGTAATACCGTCAGTTGAACAATGCTTGTGTTGCTGGTGAAACCCCTCTTGGGCCTTGAGGGACAGCTGGGGTTTGGCAACGGAAGTTTGGGACTTCATCTTGATTGTCCCCCTTCTTACATGGAGATTTATTCATGCCCTTTTCCAACAAAACAGGAATTTGTGTGGTTACTCTTGGCCTTTTCCTTCCCCTCCTACTCTGAAGAGGATGCTGTCCTCCACAGTATCACAAGCTGATACTTGTCTGCTACCAGGGCGTTGATGCAACTGTATATTGATTTCCAACCATGTCACTTCAGGGAAGCTCAGCTGTGGGAGCTTGTGCTGCTGGAGAGCCCTGGAAGTGGTAGCTCGTACAGAAATGGGCCCTTGTCCAGTTTAGTTTTGATTCCAGTGGAAAACTGTTATCAGTCCTCACCTATCCAAACGCAAAGTAATTTGCTGTGTATCACCACTTTCTTACTTTATCTCCTGCAGAAACTCAAGCACTTGATTAATGACCTTACATTCCTGCGTGCCTTAGGCACAAGTGTAAAACAATCAAGCTGTGGCTTGGTAGCTGTCTTTTGGCGAGATGTGGGGTAGATTATGGGGTGAACTTGTCCAGAACTCTCAGCAGTAAGTGGCTTTTCTCTCCAGTTTTCTAACCTGATGGATACCTGGTTTTGAGTGAGATAGA